CTACTTTGGAGGATTATGTGATGTCTGCTGTTCCCCAAATAAGAGGGCAAGAAATGAGATTGGGGGGAGGAAAATCCCCAATTTGTACTTTATAACAAAATAGGCTGCCTTGAAATGCACCCCAGAAGTTATACGAGTAATTACAGGCCTGTGTCTATTTGACTTTTTCCCTCAAAGTTAGTGTGCCCAAAGCATCTGGATTTGTTAAATTGGAAAGTACCTAATGTAACAGGAATACTGTGTTCATTACGCTACTAGTTTATCTAGGCTGTTATTTCTGGAAATGAAGAACATGCTTTTCAGATCTCTGCCTTTGTAAATTGTTCTTAGAAACCCTTCCCATTAGTTACCTTGTATTGATATATTACCATTGTTAGAGTTTGTCCTAATGGGTAATTGTTGAGAACTGATGCTGTTACACAATTTTCCTTTCAAATATCTAACTGGCCCTTTAGTTTTTTGGGTCCTGCTTATAGTCAATCACTCTCTTTAAGCACATGCTGAAAAGATTTTCCCACCTGCTTTGATTAATGTTTCACATGTGACTACAATGCTTATTGTTGCAACCTTTGATAAAGAGATAGGGAATTTATTAAAGAAGAACATGGATGCAACCGTTGGTGGGACTGCTTTCCCTAATTTTTAGCATACTCACCTTTCTCATTCTCTCAAATCATAGCATCTAAGAATAAAAGATCTCTTCCAGATCCCCAATTCTCCACCAGGGCTTTGTTTTAATGACTCTTATAGTTTGCTGGTTGTGAGGCAGGGATTCTCCATACACAGCACAGACTAATTTATTGTCACTCATTTGTTTTTCTTCAGCTAGTCTCCTCATTCCTCTGGAATCTGCTTTTTCTCCCCATTCTCCTTGGAGTGCATACTTGCCTCCAGAGAATACCTTTAGGCATTGTATTGCCTTTGTCTTAAGGAGCTGGTCCTAGCCTTTTTTAGAGGGATCTTTTAAATTTGTCAGGCTGCTCAACTGCCAAGCTTAGCCATAATCCATAGACTCCAACTCCTACAGCAAGAGGTAGTAATTCAGAAATAACTTCAGGTCTTTCCACTATATTTCAGAAATGCTACTTGTGTTACAGTCAAGTCTCTATCAGTAAAGACATTGGATTCCAGTGGTTTGCAGAACGGATAGCTTGGTGTTGGGTGAGAAGCAGGAGGACTTAGGTTTTAGTCCACCCTTGGCCATGGAAATTCCTGTAAGGAAGGGAAGCAATAGTTCAGACACTGTTTTTAGCATGTGTATCTAGCTACAGAAGCCCAGCAGGAGTAGCTTAAAGTGATTTTCTTCAGTAGAGCCCAGGGACAAAAACAGATCCCCCCTCCCCCATATTGGTAAGTATTGATGAGGTATCTCTTTTCTCTAAGGCCCAAGTACATAGCAGAGTTACATATTTGGCAAGCTGCCACCAGTGCTTAACAAACAAAAGCAACATAGTCATGATATTAAGCATAGACTAATATTTAAGCACTCTATATATCAAGCTCAATAAAAGCAGCATAATGCTTTGCAGTTCACAAACCTTGATTGGGAACACCTCTATAAACATGCAGGGTACTCGACAAAAATTTATGTTCGCCTTTGGGTACTAAAAATTATGTCCTTCAAATCATGAATCAGAAGTGACTGATAACTGGTTACCGACATTTCTTTTGATTCTTCCCCAGTTGGT